CCTGCTCCCCGCACTCGCCCGCCGCCGCGCAGCACCGCCGCTCACCTGTGCGGCCAGGTGAGGCTCCCTCCCAGCGCACAGACCCGCTCGGGACCCCAGGGCACGACCCCACGCCGGTGGGGGAGACCACGGCCCCAGGCACCCGAGTTGGCGTAGCCCACGCACCACCCTGCCTCGGGCACCTCTGCCCCCGGAAGTTGATATCCGCCAAAGCCCGCCCACCTCCGCGCTTGTCACTCAACGTAAACACGGGTGTCACGTGGCCCCGTGCAGAGGCGGGAGCTGAGAGCCCTGGCCCCTCTGAAGGTTTGTGTGGTCTTCAAAAGACTGCCCTCTGCAAAGTGGCCTGGTCTCCATTGACTACTCCCAGCACCTACCTCTTGTTAGTTATTGCTCGCTTCCTCTTGAAGGAGAATTTGTTCTTTGTCTAGCCAATGCAGAGAACACCATCCCCAACATGGCCCTCCCATGTAGGACTGTCAAGGTTGTTCCTGAGGGAAATGCCCACCTAGTCTCGTCACCTCACTACGCATTCTATAAAAACTGGAGCTGGCCAAGATAATACGTGCTCAAGAAACATTTGCTGATTAGACAATCGCTCAATCTCAGTTTCAAATATCTGAGCTAATAATCACTGGATGCATCGAAGCCAAGAGCCATACCTCGGCATTACCTTTGTATCATAAATCAAAGAACTCTACTCGAGAATTACTTTTGTTTTTATCTCATCTCTAGATCACAGCAGTTTATACAGGCCATCCAAGTGTTGCAAAAAAAAGGAGCCCTCTTATCATAGTGGTTACACAATGGGCTGTTGTTAACCACAAGGTAGGCAGTTTGAAACCATCAGCTCCTCTCAGGAGAAAGTTGAGGCTTTCTACTCTGGAGGAACATTCTCAGAAACCAAAAGGGGCAGTTCTATCCTGTCCTATAGGATCACTGTGAGTTGGAATTAACTCACCGGCATTGAGTATTATTCACTATATAACTATATACCTAGTACTAGACCAAGTTCTGACCATTCTAGGGTGAAGAAGGTACCACTTGAAAGATACCTACAAGGAGCTGCCAGTCTAGTGAGGAAGAAAGAGAAGTGACCTGGGACTTTGAACAGAAGTCTCTGGCATAGTCACCTTCATTGTGTAGTAGGATGCTATCACATTTTACACATTTTTAATTAGTTTTCTCATCTTTCCATTGAGTCCAAACTCTAAAAATTTACACTAGGTATTAGAAAATATCATCAAATAATCCTGACAGCCCTTCAATAAATATAGGCTCAAATGCAAATACACAATTTCAGTATTAAGCACAAATGTTACCTCTCCTACACCCTCCCTCCCCATCTCCTTCCTGTGTACAGAGCAAACATTCCTATTATAGAAAATATGGTACTTCGTTAAGGTATCTGTTACCTGTCTACTTGCACACTAATTCAAGGAAGACTGTTCATTTGCTTTTATATATCCAGCGATCTAAAACATCTTCTAGTGAATGTAAGTGCTTTTATATCATGTTGTCTCTCATATCTCTTATTCCTGGAAATTTCAGCTGAGTGTCTGCAATTTCAGATGATTGTCTGCACTTTCACTGAAATGTCTACATGCTCACATCTGTTTCATATTATCTAATACTTAATATTAAACAGATTTATAATGGTAGAAGAAACTAACCTTTATTTAGTATTCCCTATGCATCTGGCACTAAGCTAACTAATATGTAGCTAACACAATGATTCTGCAAATAGATACATTAATGTGTTCACTTTTTAGTTGAAGATCCAGACTTGAGAAAAGTAACTAAACCAAATGACAGCTTGATTCAAAGTTAGGTCTGGCCAGTACACAGACCTAACTATTTATTCACTGCAACACCCCACCTCTGCTTTTCATACATCTTGTCTATGAATGAACCCAAATCCTTCTACCTCCATAAAATCCTTCTCTCCTCCTCAGAGCCCTTTTTTTGAAGTATACAATTCAATGGCTTTTATTATGATCATAGGGTTATGCAATCATCACCACAGTCCATTTTAGCAGTCACCACTCATTCCTTCTATCCTCCCAGCCTTAGGCAACCACTAATTTATTTTGTGTGTTTGTAGATTTGCCTATTCTGAAAATTTCGTGCAAATGAAATCATATAATATGTAGTCTTCTGTGACTGGCTTCTTCAATCTCTTCAACTTTTTTAAGCTTCATTTATCCATTCATCAATTGAAAGATATTTGAATTAGTTCTTTTTTTGGCTAGTGTGAATAATGCTGCTGTGAACATTCTGGCCCGTTGTTTTTGTAAATATATGCTTCCATTCCGCAGAAGTAGAATTGCTGGACCATATGGTAATTCTGTTTTAACTTTTGAGAATGTGAATGTACCAGTTAACATCCTCACCAGCCACCTATGAGTGTTCTAGTTACTCCACTGTATCTTTCATCTCCTCTGAAATGGGATTCTGTTTTCAGAGTACTTCCTATAAACCATCTTGTATGACTTGTTATTGTTGTATGTGTAGCTCCTCTCTCAGTGTTTCACTGTCGTCTAGTCAATTCTGATTCATAGCAACCTTATAGGACAGAGTAGAACTGTCCCTATGGTTATTTTAGACTGTAAATCTTTTTTGTCCAACAGTTTTATTGGCACATAATTTACATATCATACAATTGAGTAGTTCAATCATCCAATCATATCAAGGGAAATTCACAATGACCACCACAAGTATTCCTCCCCACTCCCACCCCCTATTAAATTACCTTCAATATGGGTTATGCAATCAAGGTCAGTTCTAGTGCTCCCTCCCCCTCCTGCCTTCATTATATACTCACAAAATCCCCTTTCCATCCCTATCACCCATCCCATCCTCCACCCATGCATTCCCTATAGCACCTTGTATCGAGTTATCATTATACTTCTGCTCCTCCTGTGCTTTACTGCTGAGAACCCCAACAGAAAACAAAAAAATCTAACTGCACTAAGGTAGTAAGGATAAGATTATATTAGTGTAAAGACAAAATTAGAAACAATTCGTGAGAGGGAGAAGACCCCCATAAACATTCCAGAAGGCAGGGAAGAAATTTGTTATCGAACAACTAAGAGATACTTTTACCAAGAACAATTTCAGAGCATGTCTTTCCAGAGGTCAACTGGACAAGCACCATGTTTGATTCAGTATAATTAAGATTACATTGATCTCTGCCTGATTGTGAGACTGTTCACAACTCTTGCCTTTGGCTGGAGCATATCTCCCAGCGGCTCCTTCTGACCAGATACTCTGAAGATGGGTTTGGTGTTTCCAGTGCCCCTCATAGGCTTCCACAAATAGGGCGTACACAATTTAAGCTCTGATCCTTTTCCCTTCATCGTATTTGGATTTTGTTATTGTCATCTTTGGATTGCTGGTGTGCTTCTTCCATGTGGACTTAGTTGACTCCTCATTTAGATGACTGCTTGTTTAATACAAGTCTGTAACCCCAGACACTATTCTGATTGCTAGCCGGGCACCACACTTTGCTGTAGCACCCCTATCTTCAGTGATCATTTCATGAACATGAGTATCAAGCAAGGCCATGTGATCAGAACTAACTGTTCTTGGATTGAGGCTAGAGTTAAGTGGGAGCCCATAATGCATCTGCTTATCCATGGGATATGCATGACTCAGGTTTACTTTGGCAGCTGTACTGTGACAGAATCAAAACCCTGCAAGATCAACTATACCAACAACAGCAACAAACAAACAAGCAAACAAACAAAACAAAAGGCAGGAAAACAAAAACCTATAAGAAACAAAAAAGCAAAACATTGTCAATCACCCCTTGGGTATAAGGCAATTGCACTGATAACATCAACAATTTTTCCAGTGACACTGTCAGTATAAGGAGTCTGTACAAGTACAGTACCACAGTGAGCTGCATTCCATGAGTTGTTGCCCTGCACAGTTCCATCTCCCAGTCCATTGATCTCTGTTTACCCTAAGTATGGGGAATGGTGCCAGGGGGAGACTTCTTGGATCAATTCCTATAAGTGCAGATCCCTTCCCAACAGATCAAAACCTGTCATATTACTGTAAGGGGGACCATCGAGGTACTAAATATATAGTGATTCTGGGATCCTTACTTTTGGACACTCACCAAGTCAGGACTTCCCCTCAAGGTCCAATGACTGTCACTTCCACAGCCCTGGATGGCCACTCTCTGCTTCCTCCCCCATCCAGATACCTCAATCCTCAGTCCAAGGGTGCAGGCGACTTTGAGGCAGGGCTCAGTTCATTTAGCCAGGCCTCTATGCTAAGTCCTTCTAGTGTAGCCCCCCACAACCATAGTTGATATGCAGTTCCAGCCACTCACAAGACTGACCCCTGACATCCACCCACCCACCCACAACTTGGTTCAGATGTAAAGACTGATGATGCTCCAGATGCCCAAAAGGATATAAAAGTTGATTGCTCATATATTAAAGCACTCCAGGATGACTATGGCAAGCTTCTCAAACAGGTCCAAAAATGGCTTGCGATAATAGGTTGGTGGAGGGGTGGTTATGGTGCTTTGGGAGTGGGACTGGGGAGAGTGCTCATCCAGGGGTGAACTCACATTGGCATGTAGGAGGGAGCACCCATGCTTTCTTATTGGCATGGCCAGATGTGAGGCAAGAACGAAAGGGAGGGCTAGAAGTAGCAAAATGAAGTCAGATTCTTATCCTTAGTTACTACTCTTTCATTATATGTTTAGAGTTAAATGTATGTGGTTTTTGTAATCCAACTAACAAAGTAATAAAGTTGTTGTATATTTATATATGTTGAAAAGACAGTAGTTGAAAATATGGTTTGACATTTGTTCCATTCTTCCCAGGTTGTGCAGCACACCCATGAGAATTTTTAGTGGAATAAATCACACTCTTATCATCAAAGTTAGTCCAATCAGGACAGTCCAACCCAGCCCTATCTCATGACGATTGATTGAGGTAATTCAGGCCCAAGCATTCAATCCATGGTATTCCTCTGGCTACAGGAAGTTAAGGATTTAGGCAATCAAAACCCACAGAGTTTTTGCTATGAAAGTGTAAAATGTAACCACTAAACGTTGTGTGGTCCTTGCTGCTAAGATGTTGT